GCCGCTGCCGGGAAAGCCGCGCTGATGTGATTTCTGACGCCAAGCGCTCACCGCAGCGCCCGGGCTCACCGCGATGAGTAAACCCTACGTTAACAGGAATTAACGCCTAACATTTCAAAACGCTTACAGACACCTATCCAAGCAGTAGTATCACAGGACCTCTAAAGATACAACATTAAAAACAAAAATAAATGTATTCATTTTTAGTTGTACTCTCCAGGCATAAAGCACCCAACTGTGCAGAGGCTGCGGGGCCAGCGTCTGAAGATAAACAGGTGAAGCACAGCAGCCATTCTTGCCTCTTACACCTTGCTTTCCTATCGATCCCGGGACATCTGGCAGATATATATGACGTGTTGTTTACAGGACGTATGTCTGTCAAATGAGCTCAGAGCGTGGCCAGACCCGTGCCTTGCAGGACACACGGCCAAGTCCCTCCATTGATTTTGGTCCAAGTCACCGGGAAGCACCACCCCATGCAGAGGCAGACCACAGCAGACACTGTTGCTGTGGGATGGATTAGGGATTTGCAGTATTTACACTAATTTTGTCCCCCAAAAGCACTGGTGAGAAGGAAATCTCCTGTGCGAGCTGCCTGGCTACTGAGCCTACAGTTTTCAAAAGAATCAAAGGTTCTCCCTGCATCTGGTCCCGCCCTTCCTCTCGCTTTTTACTTTATTTTAATCTGTTCTGAAGAGATGAAAGCTGACCACTTCCATACTCTTCCTCCCTGCTTTCAGTGGGACCATCCTCCCCACGTGACCGGTGAGTACGTACTGCACAGGCAGCACCCTGGGGTGCTGCTGCTCCCCGAGCACACAGGGGTGCAGAGCACCCTGCTGGGCACCAACCCAACTCCGGGGCAGCCGTTACACAATTTGGGATTGCTTTTAACTGGTGGTGGCTGTCCCCTCCTCACAGGGGCTGGCTGTCCTCGAGCCAGCTCCTCTACTTACGCACCAGGGAGATGATGTCCCAGCTGCGATCCCAGGACCTCACTGCCTTTCCCACCCACCCTGACATTTTTCCGAAGGACCCCCCAGACGGCAGAGGGTGGGAAAGGGATGCTGGAGGGACGCAGCAGGTGCCTTCACCTGGCACTGCGGGAAGAGGTGCGTTCCAGCTCCCACGGGAAGCCTTGGGATCCCAGCACGGAAGCCCGGAGCACCAGCAGTACAGGGCACTGCTAACGGACATCATACGGCACCTGGTAACCCCCACGTCCCCCTGTGGTTACCCCCTGGCAGGAGTAAAGCCACAGAAGCTGCACTCTAAGATGACTCTTCTCCCTAGTGACAGCAGCGCGGGGAGGATTCATCATATGTTAACTTCCATGAGCTCCGTCCCATTAGCTGATCCGCAGCGCTGCTCACGGACATGCCCCGACTGCTGCCCGATGTCTGGGGGCTTTACCTCGGGTGAGGGGGCAGCTGGCTGAGCTGGGAGGGGCCGTTCAGGATAACGTGCTTCCAGGGCAAACAATTTTCACTAAAATAATAATAAAAAAAAAGATTTTAACACACCCCCCCTGCCCCAAAATTGGTGTTCCCTCAGCCAGTGGGGAGGCAATGTCCTCAGCCGCTTGCACAATGGGGAAAGTGGCTGGATTGCCAACCCGGGAGGATTCGGGAGGGAGCTGAGGAGGGCAAGGCAGGCAGGACAGGCAGCAGGGCAGGCAATAGCTGGCAGCACCCATGGCGCTGGCTGGAACACCCAAACCGATTTTTTTTCCCCAAACCGGGCAGGCAGGCAGGGCAGCAGCTGCAAAGCAGCCCCGTCCCTTGGACGCGCTCGCAGCAGAGCGCGGGACGAGGAAGGTTTGCTGACCGCGCTGACCACTGCTCTCCCGCCCGTCTCTGCAGGGCGGATCGCAGGCAGGGCGTGCATCGGCACTGCGACGCTGCCGGTAGCCTCCTGCCCGCGCACCCCCAGAGCTCGGGTGCGTGCCTGGGATTCCTGCGGTGCAACTGGCCGAGGCAGCTTCCAGCACTTGGGCTTGTTTTCCTCAGGATTTCTATCCCTGAAGAGCCTTTTATGGTGCAAAAGAGTGAAATCTGGTCTTCTCCTGACATTTTGCCCCCAAGCAGCGGAAGGCTGGATACGACAGTAGTTTGACTCTGCAAGGAGCTGCCCGAGTGCCAGAAGCAAATGAAACTCAAACATCCACATACAACAGCTCAGGTATGCGGAGGAAGTTGGGCGTCCGCACAGCCTGGCCGCTGCGTGCTGCTAACTAGTTTCTAGCAATACTCTTACACACAGATATGTCACATCTTCCCCAAAAAAGGATTCGTGTAGCCTCAAAGACATTTATTGGGGTAAGGTACATGCTGCCATCCGAGGGGAAATATAAATGCTCCATCTAGAAAACTCCACCTCGCAGTTACGAGCTAGGGCAATGCTAATGATAGCACAGCCCTTTTATAAACCGTAATAATTGATTTTCACAATCTGTCTGGAATTACTCTCTGTCCTGGTTGTGGAAACTGAGGCAAGGTTCGAGGCCAAAGAGAAAGTCGGTGGCAAGCTGGAATTTAACCTAAAGACCCTCTCAAGGCAAAATGATCTATATTTACTCTTGACTGCAAAACTGAGCTGAAAGGAGGAGGGAGGAGAGCATGAGTCAGATTTTCAAAAGGCAGCAGGTAGAGAGAGTGGCTTTGCCCAGAGCAACATACACCAGGATTAAACGCTGATGGAAACGGTGAGTTACAGTTTACAGGACGGAGGAGCCCGAATCTTCCTCCTTGCCGCAGGGATGGGGCCAGGGGCACCGCGCTCCCGCGGAAAGCGGCGTCCTGGAACGCGGCCCCCTCCCCCCCTGCCGCACCAGCCGCACTATCGCGGGGTCTGCGAGGGGAGGACTCCCTGGAGGAAACCAGCTTTAACGTCTTATTTCCTCCAGCTCCAAGGTTTCCTTAATAGGAAATTATTCCCCAGCTGCGCTGGGGAGGGATGCAGTCCCCCGTCAGGGCAGCGGGCGCATTCCAGCCCCTGATGGAAAACACTGCAGAGCCGCTTTTGATCCAAAGTGTAAATAGTGTATAATAAAAAGAGGCTTGTGTAAACTGGCCAAGCTCTCGGGGAGCAGCATTTGCAGCTCCAGCCTCCTTATTTACGAGCCCCCAGCGCTGCAGCCACATGCTTCCCCCCGGCACGGCGAAGCCGGTGTCAGGCTGAGCCTGCCCTGCCGGGACACTCCGGCGGGCCCCACGCCGCCCCAGCCTGTTATTTTTATCCTAGCTGGCCCTGCACCACCTTTCACTTGCAATTCTGTTGGTTTTTTTCTCTGCCAGTCTCCGAGGCAACAGGGTTTTGCTAAAAAACCAGTCACGCTCCTTGCAAAACTTTGGAGTAGAACGGGCCACTGGGAGAGTAGAGCTGGGGTTGTCAGGGGGGAGGGATGGGGTTTGGGAACAGACGCCCTCCCTGCTGCTGTTATTTCCCATCTCTGCTTGGTAATGAAGGACGTTTGATAATTAAACGGCACTGAAAAAGAGCAAGGCAGGACAGCCCTGGAGACCCAGCTCCTGCCCAGCAGCAGAGCAAAGCCTGTGCAGGGTGAGGTTTCGATGGAGAGGCAAGGTGGAACCTCAAGGTCTTTCATAACCATGTTTCCCTGAGGAAGAGGAGAGGAGCAAAGGCTCTGACCCTGCCTGACAGTCTCTGGTCTCTGCCAGGCCAGCTCCGAGACTGGCAGGAAAGCCGTGGGAGGAGGAGTGTGCTGCCAGCACAGCTCAGACGCAGGCAGGGACGCAAGCAGGAGAAGAGGGTTTTCCCCTGCCCTTCCCAGGCAGACCCCAGAGCCCCTCTTACCTCCTCCATCCCAGGATGGACGATGG